ACCCAGAACTGGTTAACCAAGTTGGATTCTTACTTAGGTCTGCCATCAGAATATTCCCTATTCAGGATCAGTAGGGCTTATTCACTACTCCCAAAGGATAGTCTCACCCAACATATCCAGGCTGTGCATGGCAACTGTTCCCTGCTCTTAGCTCTACAGTAAGGAAGGTGTGCAGACAAGGCAGATGGAATTGTTAAAGAGAACTTGGTACTAGAATAGTAGGCCAGTGCTTCAAGTGAAAGACCCTGCCCACCAAGGATGTCAACATGTAACAGGGAAATTCATTTGAAAGGAAAGGGGCTGAACTAAGATAGCTGCTTAAACTGATAGTGTTTCTCCATGTTCAGCCAGTAAGGCTGTTTCCTTTGCTTTGACAAAATTCCATGATAAACACAACTTACAGGAGAAAGGGTGAGAGGCCAGAGCACAGTCCAGAGCAGAGCAACGAATCACTGAATTCAAGGTAGGGCTCAACTTTTGTTCCCTGCTCTTGTCCAACCCAGGACCCTTGACAAGTGAATGGTGCCACCCACAGAAGACAGATCTCCCATTTCAGGTAATGTCGTCAAGAGAATGGCTCACAGGCGTGCCCACAGGTCAACCTGATCTAGAGTAATCCCTCACCGAGACCCTCTTAGATGATTTTAGATTGTGTCAAATTGAAAACTAAAAGTGACTATCCCAGAGGTGGAGAGGCCACTACAGATGTGCAGAGGGGCCAAGACTACATCCTGAGGGGACAGTACAGCTCAGCAGTGCCATCTGCACTGTTTTTAGAAGAGTGGAAAATGGAAAAGCCATGGGATGATGGTGCTTGCTCCAAGTTTCAGAAAGGCACGAAATCCAGGCAATAAGTGACAGGGTCAGCATCCCTGCAAGATGGCCTTAAGGGGCTTCATGTGACATAAAGTGAGGCTTTAGATGTGACGGAGACTCCAGGAGCATGAAGAGTCTGCCAACAGAAGGGGCTTTGAGTACAGAGCGGAGCAAGCCGAAGAGAGAGGCCGTGTGTGCTACAGACCATAGAACTAGAAGTGACCAAACCAGCTCCAGCCCAGATAATGCTACCGAGTACCCTGATGCTGGATGCGGATTTGGCTTTGGTCTAAGCCGTGCTCTGCTCCCATCATTCCTTGCTGTGCTCCCACTGCTCTCCTTTATCACGGGAATGCTCACTACATGTCTTTGTTTGTTGGAAGTATGTAACTTCTTAATTGTAAGGGGATCACAGGTAAAGACACCCTGAGCTTGGACTTTTGAACAGTGTTAGAATTGCTAAGACTCTCTGAGCGTATGCACCTGTTAGCATAATCACATAACTAGAAAACCTGAGCTAGTGATAAAAAGGATGAGAATTAGTATGAGAATGCCAATTCTCTAAAATTTTATACATAAAATACAATTCCAATTAGAATCCCTACTGGGATTGTAATGTAATAAACATTGCCCTAGTTTATGTGAAGTAATAACTTTCTATGTAGAAGACTGTATAAAGTTTAGAGGAAGAAAAATTGACTAGGGATTCATCGGAGCCGTCTGCAATAGGTAATAACATTATCTTAAAGTTTAAAAAGACGGGGCTGAAGAGTTGGACCAGTCAGTGAAGTGTGTGCCTTGCAAGCATGAAGGCCTGGGTTCAGCATCCCAGAACTGACATTTAAAAGCTGGATACGGCCGGATACGACCGAATACGGCCATGCGGTCCAACTGTAACCCAGGGCTGGGGCAGCAGTGAGGTCCAACTGTAACTCGGTGCTGGGAAGCTTAGCAGGGGATGCCAGGGTGTTGAAGATCAGATAGAAGAGACAAGTGGTGAGCATCAGGTTTAGTGAAAGACCCAGGCTCAAAAACATGAGAGGGTGGAGACTGAAGAGATGGCTGCTCTTCCAGAGGACCGGAATTCGATTCTTGGCAACTGTGCAGTGATTTACAATTATCTGTAACTCCATTGCACAGGATCTGATGCCTTCTTCAACCTTGGAGGGCACCAAGCATCCAAGTGATGTACATACATATACACAGGCAAAACATGCATATGCATAAATTAAAATAAATAATTCTACAAGGAATTAAAAAATAAGAAGATGACCAGCTGAGGAAAACACCCAGCTCTGACCTCTGATCTCCACCATGGACACGCCCCCACATAAAAGGTTTAAGTGGAAAGACAACTACATGCCAAATATATTTAAAAGTAAGAACAGCAGGAAAAACTCTACTTGTAAGAACTGGTTAATAATGCATTCTACTAAAATTAACATTAATGGCATATGAAATGAATTAGTGAAACAGAAGAGAAAACGCAGTGATAGATACTAGAACATGGGAAATTTTAACGTTAGGTGGTAAAAATAATGACTTAATTAGTACATAAACTAATAGAGTGGGAAAGAGTGAAACTGGATCATTGAGTCTCATATCACATAAACAGAAACAATAAAAAAATCCACCATTTGGTTATACCATAATACAAACCTGTGATATGGTGATATCATAAAAAAATTCTAAAAATTACTTTAGGAAAAGTGAATATATAAATATAATATAAAATACATTAACACATGTACTATTCAAACTGCTCATTAAAATTATTAAAAGGAGGCCGGGAGTGGGGGCACTCATTTTAAACCCAGCATTCAGGAAGCAGAGGCAGGCAGATCTGAGTTCCAGGTCAGTCAGAGTCACACAGTGAATTCAACCTTGTCTTAAAAACAAACAAAATGAGAAAGAGGAGCTGGGACTTGTGTACACACCTAGAATCTCAGCAGTCAAGGCTGAAGCAAGGGGGCATGAGTTCCAGGTCAGCCTGACTCCAGCAAAACAAACTGCTACCAAGAGAACCCCTAGTAAGGTAGCTTTAAATAAATAGACAACCAATAGACAAAAGAAAAATAATTGATCACTGTTATATATTACAGTCTTCTGGGTTGGGAGATAGCTCAGAGGGTAAAGGCACCTGCTATCAAGCCAGATTGCTTGAGTTTCAGCCCCAAGACCCACAGGGCAGAAGGACAGGACCAAGTTCAGTAAGCTGACTTCTGAATCCACATGTGCACTGTGGAACACAAATGAGCCCTCCATATGTACATATAAAAATTGCAATTTTTAAATTAAAATTCATATTTTTCTGACTTCAGTCAGAAAATTGGTGCTACTGGACGCACGGCCCCTCTCTTTCTGTCCCAGCCCGCATCCCTCTCTATCTACTGGACGCACGGCCCCTCTCTTTCTGTCCCAGCCCTCATCCCTCTCTATCTACTGGACGCATGGCCCCTCTCTTTCTGTCCCAGCCCTCATCCCTCTCTATCTACTGGATGCATGGCTCCTCTCTTTCTGTCCCAGCACTCACATCTCTTTAGATCTCCATTAGTATGAGCTCATCCCACCACAACACACTGCCTCAAAGCTCAGTCTTTCTAAATACCACTTTTTTCTTTTATTGATTCTTTGTGGCTTTCACATCGTGCATTCCAAGAAAAATACAGCTTTTATTGTTATCTTGATAAACAATTTTCAATACTTTCAGGTAGAAATATGTATTTCTTAGACTTATTCCCAAAACTGTTTAAAATTCTAGATTCATGTTTAAAAAGAAAAGAAAAAACTTTAGAATACTGGATTTTGCAATGATTTCTTAGCTATGACATCAAACTCAAGTGCAATAAAAGTAAAACACAGAAAGGGGTCCCGTTCAGCTGGAAAAAGTCTTTGTAACAAAAAAAAACAATAAATGGGTTTGAGATGACAACCTAAGTCATGGGAAAGTCACATATATGATAAGCAGTTTATATGTAACCCTTACGAGACACTTGTATAATTCAACAATAAAACCAAAATACCTACATATAAAAAATGAGCAAAGGACATGAAAGACAATTACCTATGCAAGATACCAAATAACCACCCCCCAAAATTAAATGTTGCTAAAGATAAGAACCTGATGCCATTATGGTAGGAAGGTCAAATGGTGTTTCTCACTAGAGAAACCATAGGGGCATTGCTCACAGGACAAAGCCGTCCTGCCTCGGGGTGTTTATCAGAGCCTTAGAGCAAGGCCTCAGGGAGGTATCTGTAGCCCCACCTTCTCCACAGCCTCAGGTGCAAAGGGAAAGAGGTGGAAGTGGCCCAAACGTCCAGTCCACAAGAAGATGAATAAAGAAAGAACCAGGAGGGCCCACAAACGCAAGGGTCTACTGTACCGGTCAGGACTGAAAGGAATTCCCACACTGTGGCAACACAGAGGATGCTGTGCTAAGTAAAACCCCCCAGATACAAAAAGGAAAATACACAATACCATATCATCTCACTTATTGTACAATGTTGGAAAAGTCAAGCTCACAGGAACAAAGTAGACTGGGGGCTGCCTGGAACTTAAGTGGAGAGGGAACAAGCATTCAACGGCTACAAAGTTCCTGTTTTGCAATGTGGAAAAGTTTCACACATGTATTTGCAGAACATGTAAACATACTTTAAAACTCCTAAACTGAAAAATTAAAAATGTTTGAAATGGTACATTTAGGGTCATGCATTTTAACACAACAAAAATGATAAATAATTAGTACAACTAAGAGTTATGTATTCAACATGAAGCTTTGAAAACCTTACCACTTTTCTCCACAAACTGCTAGAGTTTTAGAAATAAAACATTAAAAATGAAAATAAAATCTGGGCTCTTCTTACACAACAGCATATGTTCCGTGTTCCTTTTGCATCCTAAGCCAATCATCCCCTAGGAATAATGAGACGGCAAAGGAAATTCCACTTTGTGCTGCTGAACTCTTGCTTTGTATTTGAAAGGGCCCTCACATAACCCCTTAATCCTGCCTCTTCAAATGGCAAGATTGCAAGGGACAACTGTAAACATGGAGCAAAGACACAGTTACTAGTAGGCGTATTCGCAAGACAACTTAATAAACACAAAACTGCTCCGTTTTTAGGGGGAAAGGTACCCGTTTCCATGTTAGAGCTAGGCGCTCACATCGAGAAGGAACTCTCTTTACCTAGGGCTTCCTTCTGCAGATCATAGCACCTGGCTTGCAAGCTTACTTCGTGCTGTTTGGACGCCTGCATCTCCTGAGACCTCAAGATGGCTGCATCCGACAACAGTTTGAGGTTTTTCATCTCCTCTTCCAGGCACACTTTATTTCTCTGGGAAGCTGTCAGATTTTTATTTAACATATCTATTTCTGTAAAGAAAATTTTAAAAAGTTTACACACAGAAGACATTAAACCACAATCCTCTCAGGATTGACTTTCTTCTAGAAAATTAATATGTGAGAAGAAGATGACTCTTTTGAGAGCATGACACCTAGCCAAAAGTTAGATTTAAACGTCCTAGCAATTCTGAAAATAAACAAGGAAAATGGGCTGGATCACTAAATGTTGTACTTTTTTTTTTTTTAGCCTTAAATCATACTAAATAGTAATATAGACTGCTTTTACATTCTCATGTAAATATGAAAAGTATAATTCCCGTGGAGGGTTCTGGGTTTTGTTGAGATTGTGAGGTAGAAGGGAGTAAGTGTGGACGTGCAGCATGACCTGGCGGGTAGCGTTTCTAATGGCTACTGGCTGCACTCTGAGCGGTAAGAGTGGCAAGGACCTGAAGGATAGAGCATCTAAAACCAGCAAGCTTGTGGGTAGAAAGTATTTAACAGTTAACGAATCTATTTTAATGATTCTAATGGTACTGTCCCCTAGAGTGAAACCAGAACAGATTGTAGTAATTCAATATCATTGTTTTCCTTCCACTTAATTTTTAAATGGCTTTACAGTTCTACTAATATTTGGTATACTTTCTTGTAAAATGCACAGAGTACATCACCCATCAAAATAATTATCAAGTTTACCCTTCACCAATGTTCTCAGGACTGCCAGCATAAGCCACCACTAAGGTAGCAAAATGCACAGTAAAAATACTATGTCATTTGTCCAAGTCAGCTAATGATATTAACGAGGGTGTGGTTTATGAGAGGCTCAACAGTTTTCTAGGAAGATTACCTGGCACTGCCTTCTTTGGCTAGCCCCTCCTAAGCTGTGTTCTGAGTTCAGGTGTGAGTGGGTATCTCACCATGTTGGCTTGGTTTATTGCTCTACCACATCCGTACACACAGGAAAGATCAAAGTAGAGATTCACAGGACAGATGTGGGAGCAGGTAATACGGCAGCAGGGCAGAGGAAAGAGAGAATTTCCTAAAGGATGGTGCAGAACACAAGTCAATGTGGTCCAGGCAGCCTGATGGTGCACATCTTTAATCCAACACACATTTGTGAGTTCAAGACCAGCCTGGTCTGCACAGCAAGTTCCAAGCCAATGAGAGGGACATGGTGAGGTTAGAGAGCAAGAGCGAGAGGGGAAGGGAGAGAGAGCAAAGCAAGCAAGAGAGAAAGAGAGAGAGAGAGAGAGAGAGAGAGAGAGAGAGAGAGAGAGAAAGAGAACAACAGCCAGAGGTGAGGGAGCTCAAGAATGTGAGTGAGAAAGAGCAGGGGGACACGGTTCAAGGAGAGCAAAGGAAAGACTCTACCCAGATAAGAAACATCTTATCTGGGAAGAAAGAGTGGCATTAACCACTGGCCTGAACCTTGAGAAGAGGCCCTGGTACCTTTTCTCTTTTAGTTCCTTTTCAACTTGCAAATGGAAATCCTAGAGAGACAAATGGCAGGAACCAAATGCATGTTTCTCCTGTGGTCCAGCAGCTACCTTATATGGCGTCTCACCCACTGAGAATAGCTAACAGGCTTCTAAAGCTGCGTGACTAAGAGCCCGTTTCTGCGAGCAGGATGACCAGCGCACTAATAGAGAAAGCTTGCGAGAATAAGGCAGCTTAACAGAGGGAGACAAAGGAAAATGCTTCCTGGGTAGTTTTAGAACCGCAGAGGCTGCTTCTCACAGCTGAATCCACTGTCCCGTACTGTAACGTCTGCCCGTGCTCAAGTCGGAACGACACTGCCGAGTAGGTCACGCATGCTGGCACCGACTTCTCATTCGCCAAAGTGACTCTGCTTAGGTATAGCTGGCTGGTTCTGGGAATGAGTACTGTCGTCTCTAAAATACCTAATGTCAGTGTGACTTTCTATCTGACATTAAGAGGCTGAATCTGCAACACAGGTTGATTTGTGAAATAGCATCTATTTCCATGTCCTCGTGGAAAAGGACAGCAAGATTTCCAAACCAACGGGGACTAAAACATTTCCAATGTGGCATCAGGAAATCAGACTCAGGGAAGGTGGATTAACTCAATCATGACGCGCTAAATGCTCCTCTCCAACAGCTCACGGGGCTAGCTTTCGGTCCTATATTTTGTATATCGAAAATTTCACCCTTGTCAGTTACTTGTCCCAATCTGGGGTTCAGAATTATGATCCCTACAGGTCAGTCTACACTGGTTACTGGTTATTGCACCCAACTCGAGACCTTCTGCTTCTGCACACCCCTGAGGCATCATCCCCTCCTCACACATGTGGCTGCTATAGCTCATATGGGATCCCATCACGGAAGCCTTTCCTGAGCTAACCTAGATGCTGCACGCCAATTTGCATACTTACTTTGCATGGATTGCATACAAGCATACAACCTAGCATTAGACTGGAGGTTAACTTAGACCAGGGACAACAACCCATTTATTCCCCTCTAGTTTGCACCACCATGCTTTAACACATCACAGGGGCTGTTGTATGCACAAAGTCTTCTGAGTAGAGCTTCTAAAGCCTAATGTGTCAGTATTTGAACATCCTGAACAAGGGTTTGCTTCTATTTTATTTCAGAGGTAGGCTTTTGAGTTGGGCATGCTTTTAATGCCAGACTAAGTTAAACAATTAAAACATACACCCTCCAAAAATGTTAGAAATCTAACATTAATAAGCATAATCTAATCTAATATGCCTATTTCATTCTTAATTTCATCAAGTTTTATTAAAACTGTGAACTCTAACATAATTTCATACTTGATTTCTAAAAGGTCAAGAGATATGCTGGGCGGTGGTGGTGCACGCTTTAAATCCCAGCACTCGGGAGGAAGAGGTAGGCAGATCTCTGAGTTCGAGGCCAGCCTGGTCTACAAGAGCTAGTTCCAGGACAGCCAGGGCTACACAGAGAAACTCTGTCTTGAAAAAACAGAAGAGAGAGAGAGAGAGAGAGAGAGAGAGAGAGAGAGAGAGAGAGAGATGGGGGAGAAAGAGAGACAGGAGTGGGGGGGAGCTACTGACAGGGAAGTTGCAGCTTGGTGTGGGATGCATGTGTGAGACCCTAGGTCTGATTTTTAGCACTAAACACCAACAAAATTCATTAGCTAAAGAAAGTATGAGAATACAAAGTAAGTTGCTTGTTTTGTTTTGCATTTTTTGACTGTATTAAGGTTTATTACTTGTTTGTAGCCCTAAGCTTAGCCAAGTGAATGCACAGTTACACTGTGTCACTATGCTACTACAAGAACGTTATAACCTTATTACTAGGGAATCCCAATGTTCCATTCACTGTGTGACCATTCATTTACATAACTTTAATTTTATTACAATAGGACAGACCTTTAAAAACTAGTTATTAAATGAAGGAATCAAAAACCATTACATTGGTTTTAAAAACCCTTTTATTTTGAAATAGTTTACAGAAAGTTAAAAATAGATTTATAGAGAAGGTCCATTCCCCCTCACTCTGCTAGATTTAACCACGCTAGATTTAACCAGCTGCGCACAAACTCTGTGTGTGCATGCTTGTTCTAGGAGACTTTAACACAATACAGTGTTCCAGCTTGCTGTGTGTTGCTGTGATAGACACCCTAGCAGAAAGCAACTGGGAAAGGAAAAGGTTTATTCCAGCTTACAGTTTACAGTTCATCTGAAGGGTAAATCCGGGAGGAAACTCAAAGACAAATCTGGAGACAGTAGCTGAAGCAGAGGCCATGCAGGAATGCTTTACTAGCTTAGTCCTCATGACTTGCTCACCCTGCTTTCTTATATAGCCCAGGACCACTGGCCCAGGAGAGACAGAGCCCACAGTAGGCTGCCCCCTACTCCACCACGGTCAAAATATGAGCTTGTATATCACCAAATTTCAACCTGGTGTTCACAGCTCATCCTCCAGGCCAGCCGCGCCAGTCCCCAGCAACTGCTCATTTTCCCTTACACCTACGATGGCATCAGGCCAAGACTGCTATATAAATGGAACAATAAATGACTTTGAAATTGAACCACTTTTTGATTGGATCTAAAGCCCAACCCACAGGATAGAATTCATGCATGGTAACATTAAGAAAGAAAAATACCCATGGGTGGCTAGATTACAAGCCCTAGGAAGAAGCTCCAACTACTATTCTGTGAAACGGATACAGGAATAAACTGCTTCCTAAGTTCTATGTGTCATCTCTCAACGCTCATCGGAGAAGCTTCTTTCTTCAGTAGGTGGTGTTTTGTACAGAGACCCAAAATGGTCAAGACACAGAGACGAAGAGTCTAGAGAGTGCTCAGCTCTAAGTGGGACATCTATATCTTCGTTCCTCTCCCAAAAGCTCAGGAATCATAACAGAAGGGGAGGTTGAAAATTATGAGAGCTAGAGAGATTTGCCAGCCACACATGGCCTCCGGACACATGAACTCACAGTGGCTGTGACTACACACACAAGATCAAGTCAGACAAAATCCCACATGAAGAGAGAGGAGCTCAGGAAGCCCCATCCTACTGGGGAGCTACTGGCCACTGCTGGTCCTTGTGGGAGAAAGAGTCAGCTTACTTAGGGATTTGGCCTGAGAGGCTGCCCATGCTCCAGTAGATAGTCCCACGCCCACGTACACACAGGCAGCACTAAGTGGATTCAGCGACTTTTTAAAAGATCACCTGAAGTTGGGAAAGGGAAGTGGTGAGGAGGGTAGGGTTGGAGGGGAGAGTTGACCAAAAACCACTATATTGGTTATGAAATTCTCAAACGACAAAAAAGAAAATCCTGTGAAAGGATTATGAAATTGGCATTTTTTAAAAAAATTTAGAAAATTTTCCTTGATGTTCATTGAAGTTATTGTATGTACAAGTAATCTCTTCCTTTTGTTGCTGATTTGGATGATATAGAATGGATATACCACTGTTTGTTTTTCACCCATGGGAAGGTATCTGGACTAGTTCCGGTTGTGAGCTACTGTGAGTGAAACAGCTCTGTACATTTAAATACAGGTCGCATGCTTCAACTCAGCCTAGGCT